CTTAGAAACCACCGGTTTCGGGTGGTCACGAGCGGTTCGTGCAATTTCCGGTTCTTTTGTACATCCCTACTTTGTACATTCACATGGTTATTTTTTTGGTCTTATTTATATAAAAAAAATAATGACATTTCCTTTCTGAAAATTCTCTCATCAAATTCTAAATTTCCCGTACCCTCTGAAACCCGTTCTCCTAAAAACAAAAATTAATGCAAATCATAACCGCCCAAACCCTAAATTCAGCCACCACCACCACCACCATTGAAAGCCTCTAGCCGTCGTACATACTATGGCTAGGTTTGTCGGCTCCCATCCTCAAACCCCGATGCCACTACCCTCCATCTTTTACGATCACAGGGTCTCTCTCTCTCTCCCTCTCTCTCTCTGTGCATGCTCCTCGATTGCCTGGTTGCGATAGCAGCTCACTAAGGCTACGTATTGCCATGGACGATCTTAATGAAGGTCATCCACAGCCTTGTCACATCTTGATCTTGATTTGGAGATCGTTAATTGCCATGGATGACCTTGGCCTACGACCTCAATTTGACATTAGGGGTCACGTAGGCCATTCATGGCTTAAAAGGAGGCTAGAGCCTGATTGCGATACTGGCGTGCTAAGGTCACGTATGGCCATGGACAACCTCAATTAAGGTTATCCACAGCCTTGTCACAGCTCAATCTTGATTAGGGATTGTTAGTTACCATGAATGACCTTGGCCCACGGCCTTAATTTGAGGTTAGGCTTCACGAGGTCATTCATGACATCGAGGGAAATTTTTCACACTCCTATCATTTTGGTAATTTGATCAGCATACTATCTCCGGTTCTAGTTTTCTCTACCACAAATCTCTAAGCTTTGTTCATAATAAGGGTTATTACACGCAATGCTCCATCATGAATGAAAATGTTGAAATATAGAGGGTTTTTAATTCATCACAAAAAAAGACGAATTGTGTTATCTTTATAAATTTTAGATTGTCGATATTTTGTAATGACAATCTAGATAAAGGAAGCCAAGTCCAATCAGTTTTGTGGTGAACACATTCGCACCATATCTGGGGCCTTTGAGAGCCAAACAAAAGGAATGCGCCAATGGTCCAAAACCAGATTTCAACGAGGTTAATTGGGCTTTCCATAAGCCCTTTCTCAGTCCATGTATGTGAAATGGATGTGCTATGAACGTATAAATCCGATGTGCTTATATTCAAATAGTCAAAACATAAGATACATATCTACAATACATCTCACTGGAATTCAACCTTAAAAATTCTCCTAAAAATTTCATTCCCGCCCAAGCCTTCTCACTAAAATATAAATAGTAATGGTATGTTACAATATACTGGACAACATTGCAATTTAAATGTTAAATTAATTTACAAGCTAACAAAGATCTCATATTTTAATTTGAATATAATTTTTTATGCTTCTTTAACAATTAAAGGGCACGGATATGGAGACCTGGCAAGCTGGCCTATAAAATACCTACAAGCCCTATGAACCGGTTAAATTTAGACACTAGCAAATCAAGTGACATTCAAATTTTGTTTAATCATTTAGAGTTTAAGTACATAGAAGATTAGGGGTTTATTTTTAACCCCTAAGCAAAAATATTTTCATTAAATTACACGACACAGAGATATTAGGCACATTTGCATTAATAGAATTTAGTGGAACATATCTTCCTTTCCTTCTATTTTTATTTTATTTTTTAAAAAAATCATTATAAATATTTTAAAAAGAAAAAAGAAAAGAAAGATAGAAAAGTGAACACTTCTCCTCAATGGACTGGTACCAAGGGGATCTTTTCTCTCTCCCTCTTTGAACTCCATCCACACTTTCACAAAAGAAGCAAAAAGGAAGAAAGGACAAAAGAAAGGGGAGTTGAGGCACATCATAGATTGTCACAAACGTAGAGTAGAGATAGAGAGAGGGATGTCCATGGCAGAAAGGTCAAAAGAAACAAGAAAAGGGGCTGTCCCAGACTCTCTCTGGCTGGTGGCCTTCGGAGATGTCATGGAGGAGAGGAAAAGGGAGTGGGCAACTGGGCATAGAGAGAGAGAGAGAGAGAGAGAGAGAGAGAGAGAGAAGGGGGGACTTCCGGAAGGAGGGGGGGTTCCGGAGGGGAGAGATTGGAGTTCCCAGGAGAGAGCAACGGAGAGAAAGAGCCAGAGAGAGATCTGGAGAGTGAGAAGCGAAGCCGATAACAAATGACGCATCTGACCACCGTGTCCGAGCCTTCGCCGACGACTCTCCCAGCCAACGTCCCCAACACCCCACTCCCTAGCGCTCGTGTTTCCAGTGAGCCCCTTTTCTTGGTCCCGAGCCCCCGTACCCGAGGATCTCGGCTCGGAGGCGTCGAGGCAGTCGGCCATGGCACGATTTGTGTCGAGCGCACCCTCTAACCGTCGTCTTCGAGCCGAGTAAAGGGTCTGCGAGATTAGTCACTCGCTCCGCGAACCTTTTGTCGTCTTCCCCTGTTTGGCCGACCCGTAAAACCTGCTCATTCTTTTTTCGGGGTCCATACGTGTGCTAAGTTGGGTGCGCTGATGTGGTTATTTTGGCTGGTCTCGTGATGGTTTCCGTTGGGTCTATATCTCAATTCGAGTCTGAAAAAGGTTCAATGTCTCATCTTCGACTTGCTTACCACATGTTTGACAATATGCCCAACTCAGCCTGTGCACAAGCTTTGCTGATTTCCATTTGTTCTTACGTGCGTGTAAGCAAGTTCCACATCTTTATAAACTCCTTGTCGTTTGTTGAGCGTTATTTTCATCGTCAAACCAAGTCTGAGCATGAGATTTTCTTTGAGCGTTCTACTGCCCCACGCCTTGCGCATGGGGAAATGATAAATGTCCATGCTTGAAACGTCAATCTTTTGAGACTTTCACGTTGGCGTGCTTCTCTGAACTCTATTTATTAGTCCTTTCATCTTGCGATTTTGAATGTCAAATGTTCGGTAGTCGAGAATAGGTGATGGTTGAATATGTGGCCGACGGTAGAGGTCCGATGAATGAGTGCGTATCGACTGACTGTGAAGCATAATGTTCATGGCTGGAATGTTGATGTTCTGGAGTCAGTAAGCTAATCTTTGGGTGTTCTGGGCATGCTTGGAGAAGGAGACGTGAGTTGGAAACTTGCGAAGGAGCGGCCGAGAGTAGTACTATAGTAGTGGACTTTGGGTTCATTTAGACTAATTAGTGAGCCTTGGGCTTGGCGTGTTGTTTTGGTGAGTTTAGGCTTAAATTTTTATTATAAGAGTAGTGAGTCTTGGGTTTAATTTGGCATATTTGGGTTTGTTTTTGGTTTGAAGGCCTGTTTGCAAGCCATATTCGGACTGGGCCCCAAGGCCCGTCCCGAGTCCCTATTTTCTGATTAAAAACTAATATTTTTATTAAAAAATTGAAAACCAAAAAATAGTAATTGGGCTTTGGAATTGCCTTTTCTTGCCCTTTTTATGTGATTGGTGTCATATTTGATTGCACGTTGGTAGATTCACAGGTTTTGAATTGCGTGTTTAATTTAATCTTGCATATGGTTGATTAGGCATGTTAGGTTCATATATTGATTGTTGCTTCCTTTAGCATGATTAGGGATAGAACTTTGAGACTCACAATTGGTAAGACTGTTGTGTGAACACATTAGGTTGTGATAGAACAAGGCTAGGTACCGAAAGGGCACTAGTTGATTAATTAGTGTAATCAAGTCCCCGTATTCATTGAATCTCTGGTTTGTAGAAGTGAAGCAACTCTCCCACGCTTTACTTAGATGTCTAATCGACCCACGAAAAATTGATTAGTGGCGACTCCTAGATAAAATTTGATTTGCATGTTAACAACATAAACCTCAGGTCGCGAGTTGATATAAGCTTGGGAGAGCCCGAGTTAAGTCCTAAGTTTAGACTTAGCAATCCGTTAGCCAAACCCCCTAGGTGGCAAGATCGGTTCAGGGAGGTTGTGACATGTTTTTACTAGGAGAACATGGCCACTAAATCCATTTCTTTTATTAGTTGTCCTTTTTATAATTTCTAGTTAATTGTTAGAACTTAATATTCTCGATAGGATAAGGCTACATAGGTTCACACCAAATATGTATCTCAAGCAATTTTCTCATCCACAAAAGCTATGATTTAGGGTGGTTTACTTCGCAAAAAATTAACTAATAGGAAATTCTTTTCTTTTTAATGATCATTTGTTTCATTTACGAAGATATTTCAACTAAAAACTTTTCATTGTTAACCAAAAGTTTAGGCATAAACTATTGTAAATAATGAAAACATTTCCATTCAATTAATTTTTCTAAGCGATACAAATAATATTATAAAAAAAAAGATTTTCAAATAATTGATTTTTCGTGAAATAAACGAAACATAATTCTTTTTTTTTGTCAAAGTTGTTACACTTTACATATCTCAATACGCAAATTTACACTTTAAACCATCAAAGAGTCATGCTGAAGCCTACGATCACATGACTAGTATGCTTGTAGAATTATCAGGCGACAATAGCACAAATGGTACATAAATTTTAGTCCAATGTGTAATGTGGTTCTTGAACTTTTGATAATTATTCAATGTGATCTTCGCACTTCGGTCAAATGTACAATATAATCCCTAAACTGTTAATTTGTTCAATATGTCTCATGAACTAGTAAATGTTTTATATAGTCCCTAAAGTATATGAAAATGCTTAAAAGTGTATGGACTACATTGAATATTGAACAAAGTTTAAGGATCACATTAAATAAATTAAAAATTTATATTGCAAGTTAGAAACAATGTTGAAACAAAGTTCAACTACCCCATTCGTGTAATTTTCAAAATTATCAGTTGTTAAGGCTGTGTTCGTTTGGCGGAAAATATTTTACTAGAAAATATTTTCCGAATTTTTCGGTGTTCGGGGGGGGCTTGGAAAACATTTTCCCTCAATGAGGGAAAACATGAACAAAAGAGGAAGTCATTTTCCATAAATCTTCTTCTTCTTCTTCTTTCACAATTTTATTTTTAATATTTTCTTTCCCCTCCGGTCACTTTCCGCCGGCGGTCGTCGGCCACCGGCCGCCGCCGCCTTCACCGCTACCGGTTGCCGATCTCCGCCGGTCGCACGATCTCCGATTGCCGCCACCCGTCATTGGCTGCAGGTGATCACCGAACATAAAAAAATGACTTTCGAAAAAATGTTTTTCAAAAATATAATATTATTCGCCAAACAAATGGAGCGCAAGTAAGAGATTCCTCTACCTCCCATGGTAGAATGGCAGCTCCATAAACCCTAATCTCATCTCTGCTCAACCTCCTTCCATCTCGCCCTGCGTCTGTTCCCTCAGTTGCCTCTCTCGCAGAGCTTGCTCCGAATGGCAGAGGATGAGGATGCCAATGCTCGCCTTTCTTCGCTCTGCAAGAGATCAGGTAAGTTTTGGTCGGTAATGGATGGAGATGTTTCTGGGGATATATTAAACGAACTCCGTCTCACTCTCTTTGGGAGACTGTTCTCAAACCCATCCGTGAATTTCCAAGCCTTTTTGAACACGATGAAAAGAGCCTTGAGAATTGAAGACATGGTTGCTGCCGACCTGGGTTCTGGCCTTCTTGCATTTACGTTCAAATCTGAAGGAGACAGAAACAGAGTTTTAGAATCTGGTCCATGGTCTTTTGCGAATCACCTCGTGTTTCTTAAATCGTGGGAACCCAGTACACCTCCTCATCGTTATGAATTTGCGACTTGTGCCTTTTGGTTCAAATTTGCGGGTTGCCCCTTGAATATTACTGCGTGGATGATGTGAACAGACTTGCTCAGGGGATTGGGAAGGCTTTAGATGGGAAAGTGGAAAGGAATGGATTTTTATCAGCAGGAGCGAAAGTGGAGATGAACCTGGATGCTCCTGTAAAATCTGGTATCGTTGCTAGTGGTGGAGGTACGAAGCTTTGGCTTGATTTTAAATACGAAAGATTGCCGCATTTTTGCTGTTCATGCGGTAAGCTGGGTCATTATGCCAAGTATTGCACAGAGATCCCTTATGAAGAAGGCAATTTAATTCCAGAAAATGACATTTATTTTGGGAAATGGCTACGGGCAGAGGTTGATGAATATAGCCCTTTATGGAAGGTCTTTTATGCAGCAAAGGTCGAAGAAGATATATAGTTCCAGATTCCCGAGTCAACAACTCTCAAATTGTGGCTTTTGTGGAAGGAACTTCTGGCCCTGATAACCTGCAGTTAACCATTGTGGAGAATAAAGCAGAAGTCTCTGAAATTAGAGGAGAAAACCTTTTGAAGGCAAACCCAAGCTAGACTATCGTTGGGTGAACTTTCATCGCTGCAAAATCTCATTGCATTTGCAATTATTTTCGTCCGATTCAGAAAGCTCAAAAGAAGAGTAGGAACTTTGTTGCAGATGTCTAGACACCAAGCCATTGAAACGAAGTTACTATGTACAAAACAAAGATAATGCTATGTTCAATTTCTAGGAACAGCTCTCCCCCTTATTTTCTTGTCAAGGAAGTGACAACTTTATCTTGTTTCAATCTTGTTCTTAGCCAAAATCTTCGCGATTCCAAAATCTTGGACTTGTGCAACCAGGTCCTCATTTAGCAGAAAATTGCTAGGCTTCAGATTGCTGTGCACAATGGGTTCCGGTTGGCCATGGTGGAGATATTTGAGCGCCGTTGCGACATCAACCATTATCTTCACTCGCTGAGGGAGACCCAAGTTGTAATTGTTGGAGTACAGCCACATCCCCAAGCCCCTGTTGGGCACGTGTTGCAGCACCAGAGCTCTCAGATCTACTTTCGTGCAGCTGCTGATCACCTTGACGAGATTCTGGTGCCAATTATGAGGAAAACCTCACATTTTGAGCAAAACTTTTCTGAGCGCCTTTGATATGGAAATTCAGTAATTTAACTGCAACGTCTGTCCTGTTGGCCAGCAGCCATTTGTATACAGAGCTAAAGCTTCCAGCTTTGAGCAAACTGTATGTATACAGAGCTAAAGCTTCCTATAGCTGTCATTTTCCCCATCTCAAGTGGTAGTCCTCCATTGAAACAATTGTGACAGATTGAGAAATATGAGTTCTTGAAGGCCTCACAGACTGACCAGTTGTTTCCATTGCAATTTAAGATAGGTATTGATATCCTATTTTGCTGGAGCAGCAACACTCCTAAACTTGTCAAGTTGCATATCTCATTGGGGATCGGTCCCCCGAGATGGTTGTTATCAAGGTACAACCTTTGCAGGCTTTTTTGGTCCTCCAATAGATTATGGGATATTGCTGTCTAGATCGTTATTGCTCAACTGTAGAAAGTCAAGCTCTTCAAGAAACCCATTTGGTTGGGAATGTGACCTCTTATTTGACATTTGGGAGCTTCTAGAATTCGTAGGGAACTTGAGAAGTTTTTGATAGATTCTGGAATGGAGTCACGAAGCCAGTTTTCTTCCAGAACCAAGGTCTGCAGGGATTGGCAATTGGACAAAGCAGAGAGAAAACCGATCTCTGAACCATAAGTTTCTCCTGTTAGCTGATAGACTTAATTGTGAAGTATCTGGGGTTCTTCTTGTTCCCAAAACTCAAAGGTATCTATGTTAAAGTAATATGTCAGTTACATATTACTTTAACATTTTAATGTAATCTAATTTTACAGAGAAAAAAGTAAAACAGGCCAAAGAAAGAGATAATAGACAAAAGAAAATGGCCTATTATATTTTATCGTTTCAATAGTGCAACAACTAGTTTCATACTTCTCCCAATTTCTTCTTTTAAAATTTGAATTAATGTTTTTTTTAATCATTGAAAGAATAAGAAGATATCATTTGATGTTTGCTCTTTGGAAAAGAATTATAACGATAAAAAAAATGACTTTCGATATTTTTTCTCCATCCGATTAAAATTATAGTCTTGTTAATATCCAATATGATGTTGCATAAGAAATGAAGATGACCGTCGAGGTGTGTAATGCGGGCATGAGAATATTTTTTTTTAAGGCCAAGCTATTGTCTGTTCCATTTAGTTTGATTTCACATTACAATCTTAATATGGAAAAATTAAATTAAACTTTTGTTGAATTCAAATAAATTACAAGTATTTTTGTAAAAAATAAGGAAATATTTAAAACAGAAAAGGGGTCGAAAATGGTCCAAACACGTGCCGATCCGTGTCTTGGCATGTGGGCCGGAAAGGCCTGGCCCTGCCCAGCTTGACACACAAGGCTCATGGGCTGTGCCTGGCGTGACCAAGGCCTAAGAAAAACTGTTGGTCAAATGGACGAAGAAGCTGCCAATGATCAATCGAAAACGATATCTTCTACATGTTTATCTTGGTTTCCGAAGTCAGACACGAGTTAAGGCTCTTGTTGGGTGAATTTTCATGGCTGGAAAGTCTCGTGGCGTTTCCAATTGTGTTCCTCCAACTCAAAAACCACAAAAAGAGGATCAGGAATTTTATTACATATGGCTATACACGATGCCATTGAAACGAAATAACCGTGTACAAACTCAGATGACACTATGCCCAAATTCTAGGTACTGCTCTCCACCTTATTTTTTTGTCAAGGAAGTGACAACTTGATCTTATTGAGCTTAACCATGACAGTTTTCATGTCCATTCTTTCCTCAGGCAAGCCCTTTGAACATTCTAGTCCTAACTCGAGGATCGATAAAACTATGCTCTCGAGTTCCGGGAGCATCAAATCTTCTTGCTTCGTGCTAAGGATTCCACTATCCACGATGTCAAGTACTCGGTTTGGAGTCGCTTCACCTACCCATCGCCTCAAGCTCATATCTGCATTGAACATTTCACCGGTTGGCTTCTTCCCAGTAATCACTTCCAACAACAATATGCCGAAACTGTAGACATCTCCTTTTGTTGAGACTTTTCCTTCTGAACCGTACTCTGCAAGCGTTGTAGATTGGGAAATAAGAACATCAGCAATTGATCTTTTTCTTTTTGGGACATAAGCAATAAGATCGAGAGGCATAGTGAGTGTTAGTATATCTCTATTATATTATACCATTATATTGGCAATCGAAGGCTCGAATTAGCTCAAATTCTACATGTGTACCTGGAGCAATGTAACCAATCGTGCCGAGAGTTCGGGTCTGTGTTTCAAGCTTGTTCTTAGCCAAAATCTTCGCGATTCCGAAGTCGCAGACTTGCGCGACCAGGTCCTCGTTTAGAAGAACATTGCTAGGCTTCAGATCGCAGTGCACAATGGGTTCCGGTTGGCCATGGTGGAGATATTCGATCGCCGTTGCGACGTCGACCATTATCTTCACTCGCTGATGGAGACCCAAGTTATAGTTGTTGGAGTGAATCCACTTATCCAAGCTCCCGTGGGGCACGTATTGCAGCACCAGCACTCTCAAATCGACATTCGTGCAGGTGCTGATCACCTTGACGAGATTCCGATGCCTGATCATGCGGAAAACCTCGCATTCTGCTTCGAAACTTTTCGAGGCGCCTTCAATATAGAGATTCAGTACTTTGATCGCAACGTCTGTCCCATTGGCCAGAGTCCCCTTGTACACCGAGCTAAAGCTTCCTGCTCCGAGCAAATTGCTTCCGCTGAAGTTGTTAGTAGCCAAGCAAATTTCTTGATATGATATCATTGGGTGGTCAATTCCAGGCGGGTTCTCCATCGAAACTGGAGCTTTTTTGCTGGTGTTCCCATGCTTTCTAAGCAAGCAAATGGCAAAGACTAAAAGTACAACAGATACAATTGGTAACATAATGAATAGTAACCGGAGCCGCTTGTCCCTTGATTTCTTTCCATTTAGTTTGCAAGGTGGGACTTGATAAGTTGCATTTCCACAAAGTGCTTCATTCCCAATGAATGAGAGAGCTGAGAAATTTCCAAAGGGTCCGCCATTAGGAATCTCTCCTGATAGCTTATTAAAGGACAAGTTCAAATTTTGCAGATATGTGAGTCCTTCCATGGACTTGGGTATCGTGCCTGATAACTCATTGTAGGAGAGATTGAGGAAATCCAAACCTTTGAGGTGGCTGATCGATTGCGGTATCGATCCTTGAAACAAGTTCCTTGACAAGTCGAGAGAAGCAAGGCTCTTCAACTCCTGGATGGAACTCGGTATGGCGCCGGTAAGTCGGTTCCAAGAAATATCGATGCTCACTATAGCTGTCATTTTCCCTATTTCAAGTGGTAGTCCTCCATTGAAAGAATTGTGTGACAGATTGAGGAAGATGAGTTCTTGAAGGCTCCACAGACTAACCGGTATAACCGCTGTCATGTTATTCGAACTTACGAGGAACTTTTGAAGGCTGCTCAGGTTTCCAATGCAATTTGGGATCGATCCCGATATCCTATTTTGCCGGAGCAGCAACTCACCTAGACGTGTCAAGTTGCATATCTCATTGGGGATCGGTCCTTCGAGATGGTTGTTATCGAGATACAGCCTTTGCAGGCTTTCTAGTCCTCCGATTGATGATGGGATGTTGCCGTCTAGATCGTTATAGCCCAACCTTAGGAAAGTCAAGCTCTTCAAGGAACCCATTTCGTCGGGAATGCGACCTCTTATTTGACTATTGTAAGCTGCCAGAAATCGTAGGGAACTGGAGAAGTTTTTGATAGATTCTGGTATCGAACCCCGAAGCGGGTTTTCATCCACGCTCAAGATTTGAAGTGATTGACAATTAGATAAAGCAGAGAGAAAACCCAGCTCTGCACCATAAGCCTCTCCCGTTAGCTGATTTAACGGAACCGCAAAGAATCTGAGGTTCTTCAAGTTGCCCAAACTCATGGGTATCGGTCCGCTGAGTAGATTGTTGCCAGCATCGAAAGTGATTAGGTTCGAAAAATTCGAAAAATACTGTGGGATGTTGCCGTCGAAGCCATTGTCTGATAACACGAGTGTTTCCAAATTCGGAAGGCTTAGTTCGCTACCCGAGGGAAGGCTTCCAGAGAGGGAATTTTCTGACAAAGTAAGACTTTGTAGCGAAGAAATGTTAAAAAGCTCTTCAGGCACTTCGCCTGTTAGCAAATTGCCCACAAGGCTCATTTCATTCAGATTCACCAACTTGCCGATCTCACTCGGAATGTCACCTCCGATGCGGTTATATTCTAGGTACAGCTTGTGCAACCTCGACATGTTACCGATGGTTTGAGGAATTGTGCCGGTCAAGTTGTTAGTACCAAGATAGAGAAACTGCAGCTTTTGCAAGCTGTCTATGTCTCGAGGAATCCTTCCGTGAAAACGATTGGATGACATTGCCAACTGGAGAAGCTCTTTGCATTGAGTTAGCGTCTCCGGTAGCAGGCCACTGAACTGGTTATCATGTAGCAAAAGCCTCTGAATTTTAGGCCAGCGGTAGCAAAGATCGGAGGGAAGACTCCCCAAGAGATCATTATGCATAAAGTCGACAACCCTGAGCGATCCATTGAAAAGTGTCAGAGGAATCGAACCTGTGAGATTGGCCTTGGCCAAAGTAATGACCTGCAATGTGGTTATGTTGCCCAGGAAGCCCGGAATTTGACCCTGTAAGGGGTTGAAGCTAAGAAACAGTCGTTGCAACTTGGGGAGGGCGCCGAATTCTCTCGGTATGCCACCCGTTAGCCTGTTGTTCGCGAGTGTCATCACTTCAAGATTTTGGCAGTGGGCTAAGTTAGGAGGAATGCTTCCTTCAAACTGGTTATATTCAAGTATGAGTTCTTTCAAGCGGCGCAAACAACCGATTTCTGTCGGAATCGTGCCGTAGAAACTGTTGTTGGGAAGATGAAGAGAAACCAGGAAAGAGAGATTGCCCAGATAAGAAGAGTCTTCCTTGGAGACACCTGTTGGAGAGGTCTAAAGCCGTGACTCTCTGCCTGCGATTGCTGCAAACGACGCCGATCCATTCACAGAAGTTTGCTTCTGTGGTCCAATTGCCGCCTTTGATCGTGTTCGTTGGGTCAACCTCGATTGCTGATTTGAAGCGAAGGAGTGCATCTCGATCCGTGAAGTTGCTGGAACAAGTGGCGGGCTGAAACAACAATAGGGAAGCGACCAGAACATCAAGAAATGCTAAAAAGATGAACTTCTCCATAATGAAGAGAGTTTCTTTTGATTGAACTTGGGGAACCCCTAAACAGTGTCTGATTCCGTAGATGGCCCGTTCTTTATATTTTCACATACGCATTTATTTTTCTGTGAGGGTAGAAATGGAGCTTTGACTAAAGTTCCACCGCACGAATGTGATAAAGATCACGAGTGTCGATAAAAACTTGCACCAATACCAATTATGTTATTAAGCAATGGTTGCTCGAGTCCTACAAGTCCACTAATCTCATCCCATTGTCTTGTCTTATCATAAACGGCTGATATGCCGTTCAATAATTACATTAAGAAATCAAATAATTAGAGCTTCCAACAAAAAAATCAAGTCAATAGATGTAGACAAGATTGATTCTTTTGGCATGGACCTTCAGCTACTACTTTAATTAACGGATAATAATGCACTCATACGTTAATTGCGCGAGTCCATTAGGCTACGTTAAAGGCAGCCCAACAACGACCACACACCTAACCCTAGCTGAAGACAACTTAGGATTCCATGCACGCGGCTTTTTTGACTCTTTGACCGTTGACTGACGAACGTGTTTTATACGATGTTCCTGTTCAAATGGGACGTGGACAAGAAAATTGCTCCTTTTTCTTTCTCTTGTTATTTTTTTAATTATTATGCATCAATTCGTTGTAGACTCCGACTTGTCTTGGTGCACACGTACAATCACTCTCGTATGTATATATACCATTTGGCCGCTTCAATTAAAGACTGAGCCTTTGTCATCTTTATTTCACGGACCTCAATTGATTTGTTTTTGTGAGAAAATTAACAAAAAAAAGTCATAAATTTATTGCACTTTTGTCAATTCAGTATTAAATCTTTTTTATTATGCCAAATGAGTCATAAACATTTTTGCGCTTTACCAGTTGAATCAATCCGATCAATTTTGGCTAGAAATCGCTGACATGGACGTCGGTCACCCTACGTGGCACGGCCGGCGTTCACGTTAGCAATTTTCGGCCAAAATTGGCAAAATGGACTAATTGGTAAAACGTGAAAAGGTTTGGGATTCAATTGGCACAATTAAAAAGTTTAAGACTAAATTGGTAAAAGTGCAATAGGTTTATGACTTTTTAGATAATTTTCCCCTTTCCTGTTGAGTAATTTTTTTCTTTTTTCAGAAGATTATTAAGAATGACAAAGGTGATATAAACAATTGGGATTAGAAATATAAGACAATTCGAAAAAATTTCAATTTAGAAAATGATGATGAGCGAGCTACTCATTGACAATATTCACTACCGGTGATCCTGCAAGTGGAAATGGTTTCGGAGCTTGTTAATTCACTCGAGATTTTTCAGGCATCTGTAAAATCTGAAAATTATTATCAATATTTCTTATTATTAAAGAATTCATTTGGGCTATCTCATCTAATGAAGGGATCCATGAACGCTTTTCGGATGATTTTCCAAGGTGACACTCTAAGCAATGTAAAATTCACTTTCCTAATTTGGAACCATGCACATGGGGAGTTCGGCCAAGGCACGAGGAAAGGGTGGATTAACCAAACTTAATAAGGCCTTGCTCAAATGGGCCAATTTTGATCCAATTCACAACCAGGCCTATTTATCATGAAATTTGTTATATGCTGACACGTTTATCATAAATGAAAATGCTCCCAATGCCTAATAATGCAAAATTATGCAATACTGGTATTTTGTTTAGGGGTTAAATTCTATCATTGTCGACGAATTCGATCTCTAATTTTTTCATGTATTAAATGAGAAGACTAAAACTCAAAATTTAGGTGTCAATAATAACTAGGAAGAACTTCGACCATAAGAATTGCTTCACAATTTTTCAACTTTCAAAAGTTATTTCCATACTTTTAAATTCATCATAGAAGTTTATATATAACAGATGATGTACTACCCTCATTTGATAAAGCTTTGAATGGGATGAAAAAATGGTTAAACATCTACGATTGTTATTTACCTTTACTTTAATTCAGATTCGGCTTTTATTTAATGTTATTCAACTTAAATTGCACGGATTGACATCGAAATCTGTTTAGAGTCACGTATAATCATTTTAGTGAACTTTTGAAAGAAAATAGTTTTCCATTTCGGAGACAAAGTCATGAGTACTAATGATAAGTCCATCCAAGCATGTCCATAGTTATGATGTCAATCCCATAGTAAACTATGCATATTAACATTAAGAAAAAGTGTCCCGATGTGGCATGTGATTAAATTTGAAATGTTATGCTTCTTTCAAGTAAATTTATAATTTTTTCTTTGGATAAAATATAATTTTTTTTCTCTTTTTTCACTAAAAGATGTGTGGGTTAACATTTTAGCCTTTCAAAAATTAATAAAAGCAACATATATTTTTTGATATTATACTTATTGTTAGATTACGATCAATAATGACGGCCATTTACTTACCAAAAAAATAATAATAATGACGGCCATTTGCTAACTCAAATTTTTATAGTTAGATTTATCTTTTAAATAATAGTTAATAATGACAAACATGCTATGATTTAACCATATATGGATTTGAGTACCGAATAGAAATAACATTTTAATCAACAAATGAAAGAAGAGAAATATACGTTAAAGACAATAGGAAAAAAAATAATATGGTAAAACATTATATAATGAAAGAAAAGTGAAAAGGTAAAATTTTGCAAATAGAAAGAAAATAAATGGTCAGAAAGGATAAAAGTGACGAACAACGAAAAAGGAAAAAAAGTTAACTATGTGAGTGAATCTGATGATTTAGGAGGGAGAAATGATGGATGATAGAGTCAAGAGAGAGGGGAAAGACAGAACTACATCGGATGAAGAAAAAAATGATTGTGTTATATTCGCAGAAAATGAATAATCTGAAAAATATCTTCCGAAAAATGAATTTTTTATATGGTTTAAAAAAATTAGTCAACCGAAATGTTTTCATCATTGATAATAATCTATACTTAACTATTTTTGTTGGCGATAAAAAAAAGTTTCATTCATTTATATTTGTAAGCAATATAAACGATTATTTTTTGAAAAATATTTTTCAAATCACTTATTTTTCACGACACGAACGAACCCGGAAAAGAGGAAAAATTAATTGAGGTCTATAAAGGAAAACACAAGAGTCATTCCCACCATTTTCTCCGTTACTACTTTCCCTTCTCTATATTTGGAAACACCAGTTTCCATATCGAATTTCACACTTTCTATGAGATTTCTTGACCCCGTTTACACCTTTACATTATTATCTTTATGGTCGTATTTACAAAAACGACATTTCCTTTTTGAAATTTCCCTTGCCAAATCCTAAAATTCCCTATACCCATCTAATCCATTCCAAAAGAGAAAAATATTATCCCGAACCATAACTGCCAAAACCCTTAACTCAGTCACCACTATCGACTACTGCCGAAGGCCTCTAGCCTCTCTAGCCGTCACGCACGCTATCCCTAGGCTTGTCGTCACTCTCTCTCTCTCTCTCTTACTGGCCTTGACCCAAGTTACGTAACAGCGGCATTGACCTTGATTCGAGGCTGCTGGCATCTTCCAAGCCATGAATGACCTCAGCTGCCCCTAGCCTCAAATGAGGGTCGTGGGCCAAGTTCTTCCATGGCAGCTAACAATTTTTCAATCAAGGTCACAAGCTATAGTAAAATCATATATGACATGGACTGAGGTCATCCATCACGATACGTGACCTCAGGTCGAGGTCACGAGACACTATTGTGACCAGGCTGCACTAGTAGAGGAGTGTCTTAGAGAGAGAGCAATTGTTTACGGAGGGATGAGAGAGAGAGAGAGAGAGCCGAGCATGAACATAAGGGGAGGGGGTCAATGGAACTGGTGAGGAGGAGGGTCAACGGTGGCAGACGACAGTAGGTGGTGGAAAGGTGAGCGGTTTGTGAATGATGGAAGCTGGCACTTGGAGGCTTGGAATTTTTAGGAGTGGCAATTTGATCATTGTTGTAATAAGATTTTGACTTGAGATGGGAAGCAATATTTTGAGAAATAGGGAAATGGTGTTAAAGGTGGGAAAAAGTCTTGAGTCTCTTCCTTAAACATAAGTATTCGTTAGTGATGGTGGTGGTTATCCACTGCCAACGTGACACATGGCATACCGTGAGTGTCCTACCCAACTAAGCTTGTTTTCGGGAACTTTTATAACTGGTTGTAATAAAATACGCCTACCTTGTTGTGAAAAATGAGAAAATAACTTTATATTTTTATGAAAAGAATTAACGATCACGATTTTTTTTACTGAAAATTGATAGTTGATATCGCGAAATTCCAAATATTTTAGTAAATTACATTGAGGGAAATTTTTCAGGCCTTCTATTATCTTTGGTCAATTGAGTAGTATACTATCTACTGTTTCAGTTTTTTTTTATCGTAAATCTCTGAGCATTGGCTGTAAAATGCGTTAATACAAGTAACGCTCCACATAAATGAAAGCACTGAAATATGTAGGATTTCAATATATCATAAAAAGAAGAAGAAGAATTTGTATTATGAATGAAAATGTTGAAATGTATAGGTACTCAATATATCACCAAAAACGACCAATTCATATTATCATTAGAAATTTCAAATTGTTGATTTGGTAATGACAATCTAGATAAAGGAATCCAAGTCTGATAAGTTTTTTTCGGAAACACATTCCCACCATATCTGGGGCCTTTGAAAACCCAAATAAAAAGAGTACACCAAAGTCCAAAACCACTTTTAATCAAGGTTTATTGGGCTTTCCTTAAGCCCTATCCCAGTCCATGTATGTGTAATGGATGTGCTATGAACGTATGAATTCGATGTACATATATTCAAATAGTCAAAACATAAGACACATATCTACGATACATCTCATTGGATCTCAACCTAAAAAAATTGCCTAAAAATTTCATTCCCGCCTAAGTCTTCTCTCTTACTATAAATTGTAATAATATGTTACAATATAGTGGACAATATTGTAATTCAAATGTTAAATTAATTTTCCAACTAAGTCCCGCAAAGATCTCATATTTTAATTTGATGCAAATTTCTCTGTTTTTTCAACAATTCGAGGGCATGGGTATGGAGACTTGGTATCCGAGCCTACAAAATACCCTACAAATCCCATGAACTAGTTAAGTTCAAACATTTACCAGTGCAGGGGTAGTTTGCACTTGGTGGGATTTGCGCGGATAAATTCCAGCTCCTAAATCGAAAATCTACAAAGCCCCAATCAGTTGTGTCAGCTTGGAGGATCAATTTCTCTAATATTAAATTCAATAAGCATTCTCTCTTCGGCCATTTAAAACCATTTTTCCTTTTTATTTTCACTCGTGTAAGCACGTGTGCTTATGCTCTTTGGCTAGTGAGCGCCAGAAAGAGTTGTATTAATTCATGTGACTATATTGGATATGCATGGCCATTGGCATAGACAGGATCATGTGTGAGGCAGAAGTACATATATGGTCATGAGAATCCTTTTCCATGAGCAGATTAATGAACTATTGGTCAAAGGACCGAGGAGATGTCGATGATCAATTAAAAATGATGTATTCTTCTTGACAGCAAATCAAATAACTCTCGATAATAACATAAATGGTATTCAAACTTTGATCAAATGTACAATGCGATACTTAAAATTTTAATTTGTTTAATTAAATTCCTAAATTATTGGTAAATGTTTAATGTATTCTGTAGAGTATATGAAAATGTTTAAAAATTTATGGATCGTATTCTGCATCACGTTGTGTATTGTAATAAAGTTTAAATACCCTTTTATGTCATTTTCCAAATTATCAGTTACCGTTCGAGTTTCGAAGTCCGAGCGCATAAAAGCTCTCTCACCCTGGCAAGAGATTCCACTACCTCACATGGTGGCAAGGGAGCACCATCAACCTCCTTCCATCTTACCCTGGGTCTGTTCCCTCAGTTCCCTCTCTTGCAGAGCTTGCTCCGAATGGCAGAGGATGAGGATGCCAACGCTCGCCTTCATTCGCTCTGCAAGAGATCGGGTAAGTTTTGGTCGGTAATGGATGGAGATGTTTCTGGGGATATATTAAAGGAACTCTGTATCATTCTCTTTGGGAGACTGTACTCAAACCCATCTGTTGATTTCCACGCCTTTGTGAATAAAATTAAAAGAGCCTGGAGAGTTGAAGATGTAGTTTCTGCCGACCTGCATTCTGGCCTTTTTGCATTTACTTTCAATTCTGAAGGAGACAGAAACAGAGTTTTAGAATCTGGTCCATGGTCTTTTGCGAATCACCTCGTGTTGCTTAAATCGTGGGAATCCAATACACCTCCTCATCGTTATGAATTTGTGACTTGTGCCTTTTGGATTCAAATTTGTGGATTGCCCCTTGAATATTACTGTGTGGATGTTGTGAACAGACTTGCTCAGGGGATTGGGAAGGTTTTAGATGCGAAAGTGGAAAGGAATGGATTTTATCAGCAAGAGCGAAAGTAGAGATGAACCTGGATGCTCCTTTAAAATCTGGTATCGTTGCTAGTGGTGGAGGTACGAAGCTTTGGTTTGATTTTAAATACGAAAGACTGCCGCATTTTTTCTGTTCACGTGGTAAGCTGGGTCATTATGCCAAGTATTGCACAGAGATCCCTTATGAAGAAGGCAATTTAATTCCAGAAAGTGACATTTATTTTGGGAAATGGCTACGGGCAGAGGTTGATGAATATAGCCCTTTCTGGAAGGTCTTTTATGCAGCAAAGATCGAAGAAGATATATAGTTCTAGATTCCCCGGTCAACAACACTCAAATTGTGTTTTTTGTGGAAGGAACTTCTGGCCCTGATAACCTGCAGATAACCATTATGGAGAATAAAGCAGAAGTCTCTGAAATTAGAGGAGAAAACCTTTTGAAGTCGGACCCAAGCTAGACTGTCGTTGGGTGAAATTTCCATCCCTGCAAAATCTCGTTGCGTTTCTATTGTTTTTGTCCAATACAGAAAGCTCAAACGAAGAGTAGGAAGTTTGCTGCAGATGTCTAGACAAAAAGCCATTGAAATGAAGTTAGTATGTACAAAACTAAGATAATGCTAGGTTCAATTTCTATGAACAGCTCTCCACCTTATTTTCTTGTCAAGGAAGTGACAACTATATCTTGTTTCAATCTTGTTCTCAGCCAAAATCTTCGTGATTCCAAAGTCTCGGACTTGTGCAACAAGGTCCTCATTTAGAAGGACATTGCTAGGCTTCAGAATGCAGTGCACAACGTGTTCCAGTTGGCCATGGTGGAGATATTTGAGTGCCTCTGCAATGTCGACCGTTATATTCACTCGCTGATGGAGACCCAAGTTGTAGTCGACCGTTGGGCACGTATTGCAGCACCCGAGCTCTCAGATCAGCGTTTGTGTGGCTGCTGATCATCTTGACGAGATTCTGGTGCCAATTATGCAGAAAACCTCACATTCTGTGCAAAACTTTTGAGAGTGCCTTTGATATGGAAATTCAGTAATTTGACTGAAACGTCTGTCCCGTTGGTCTGAGTCCGTTTGTGTACGGTGCTAAAGCTTCCTGCTTCGAGCAAATTGCTTTCGCTGAAGTTGTTAGTAGCTGAGTGGAGCTCCTAATATGATATTATTAGGTGGTTTATTGCAGGAGAGCTTTTTTACCAGTGTTCTGATGCTTTCTGAGCAAGCAAATGACAAAGACTAAAAGTATAGCTGATACAATTGGCACCATAATGTATAGTAACCGGAGCCGCTTGTCCCTTGATGATTTCTTTCCATTTACTTTGCACAGTGGGGCTTGAAAAATTGCATTTTCACAAAGTGCTTCATTCCCAATGAAAGAGAGAATCGAAAAATTTCCAAAGGGTCCGGCATTAGGAATCTCTCCTGATAGCTTATTAAAGGACAAGTTCAATTTTTGCAGATATGTAAGTCCTTCCAGGGACTTGGGTATTGTGCAGGATAACTTGTTGTAGGAGAGGTCCAATCGATTGTGGTATCAATTCTGGAAACGAGTTCTTTGACAAGTTGAGAGAAGCAAGGCTCTTCAACTCCTGGATGGAACTCGGTATGGCACCGTTAAGTTGATCCAAGAAGGATCGATGCTCTCTATAGCTGTCATTTTCCCCGTCTCAAGTGGTAGTCCTCCATTGAAAGAATTGTGACTATTGAGGAATATGAGTTCTTGAAGGCTCTGCAGACTGACCAGTTGTTTCCAATGCAAGTTAAGATAGACACTGATATACTATTTTGCGGGAGCAGCAACTCTCCTAAACTTGTCAAGTTGCATATCTCATGGGGGATCGGTCCCTCGAGATGGTTGTTATCACGGTACAGCCTTTGCAGGCTGTTTTAGTCCTCCAATAGATGACGGGATGTTGCTGTCTAGATCGTTTTCGCCCAACTATAGAAAGTCAAGCTCTTCAAGAAACCCATTTGGTTGGGAATGTGACCTGTTATTTGACATTGGGGAGTGACTAGAATTCGTAGGGAACTTGAGAAGTTTTCGATAGATTCTAGTATGGAGCCACGAAGCCGGTTTTCTTCCGGAACCAAGGTCTGCAGGGATTGGCAATTAGACAAAGCAGAGAGAAAATTGAGCTCCGAACCATAAGTCTCTCCTGTTAGCTAATAGACTGAACTGCGAACTATATGAGGTTCTTCAAGTTGCCCAAACTCATAGGTATCAGTCCGCTGAGTTGATTGATCCCGGCATCGATAAAAATTAGGTTCGAAACATTCGAAAAATACTTCAGGATGTTGCCACCAAAGCCATTGTTTGCTAGAAAGATTTCTTCCAAATTTGGAATGCTTAGATCGCTACCTGAGGGAAGGCTTCTGGAGAGGAAATTGTCCATCAAAGAAAGCAGTTGGAGCGAAATAATGTTGAAATCCTCTCGAGGCACTTTGCCTGTTAGCAAATTATCCTGGGGGCTCATTTCATTTAGATTGACAAAAATGACAATCTCACTCAGAGTGTCACCTCCGATGCTGTTATATTCTACGTACGGTTGGTGCAAGATGCGGTTATATTCAACGTACAGTTGGTGCAAGCTTGACATGTTACTACTGATGGTTCAATGAATTATACCAGTCAAGTTGTTAGTGCCGAGATGGAGCTCCTGCAGCTTTTGCAAGCTGTCTATGTCTCAAGGATTGCTTCCCTGAAACGATTGAATGACAATGACAGCACAACAAGCTCTTTGCATTGGGTTAGTGTCTCTGGTAACAGGCCGCTGAATTGGTTTTCAGACAGCAAAAGCTTCTGAATGTTAGGCCAGCGGTAGCATAGATCGGAGGGAAGACTCCCCGAAAGATCATTATATGTCAACCTGACACTCGTGAGCGACCTACAGAAAATTGTCAAAGGAATCGAACGTGCGAGATTGGCCATGAGCAAACCAATACCCTGTGGATATGTTGCCCAGGAAGCTCGGAATTTGACCCTGTAAGTTGTTGAAGCCAAGAAACAGTTGTTGCAACTTTGGGAAGGTGCCAAATTCTCTCGATATGTCACCGTTAGCCTGTTCACAGCAAGTGACATCAATTTGAAATTTTGGCACAGCGCTAAGTTAGGAGGAATGTTTCCTTGGAACTGGTTTGACTGTACAGGCGGCGTAAATTACCGTTTTTATCTGGAACCGTGCCATAGAAACTGTTGTTGCAAAGATCAAGAAAAGCCAGGAAAGAGAGATTGCCGAGGTAAGGAGAGAGTCTGCACTGGAGACCCGTAAAGTTGAGGTCAAAAGTCGTGACTCTCTGCCTGCTGTTGCTGCTGTCCATTCACAGAAGCTTGCTTCCGCGGTCCGATTGCCGCCTTTGATCGTGTTGTCGGGTCGACTTTGGTCGCCAATTTGAAGTGGAGGCGAGCCTCTTGATCAGTGAAGTTGCTGGAACAAATGATGGGCTGAAACATCAATAAGGAAGCGAACAGAACATCAAGAAATGCTAAAAAGATGAACTTCTCCATCATGAAGAGTCTCTTTGATTGAACTTGGAGAACCCCCTAAAGCTCCACTGCACGAATATGATAAGGTTTTGTGATAACTAGGAAGAGTCCGCATGTTACTTCGACTATAAGAGTTACTTCACAATTTTTTTAACAATTAAAAGATATCTCTATAATCTTAAATCTTATCTTAGAAATTTATATACAATGCTTGATGTGCTGCTCTCATTTGATGAAGTTTTCGATGGGATAAAAATGGTTAAACATTGTTTTTCACTTTTACTTTTACTGTAATTTTTTAGATTTGACTTTTATTTAATGTTATTCACCTTAATGATTTTGAGTTACACATATTGATATTTGAAATCTATTTGGAGTAATGTAAAATCTTTTATTAAACTTTTGAAAGAAAATAGTTTTTAAATTCGGAGACAAAGTCATGAATACTTTTCAATTAGTCCATCCAAGCATGTCCAAGCATCTCTGAGCTTTTGTTTGTAATATGTGTTATTACAAGCAATGCTCCGTGTGAATGCAAATATTGAAAAATATAGCTTATTCACTTATATCCTAAAATGACGCTTTGTATTATCATTAGAGATAAATTGTAATAATATGTTCAATATAATGGACAATATTGTAATTTAAATATTATTTACAAACTAATTGCACAAAGATCCCATTGAATTTGAATGAAAATATCTTTGTTTTTCTTTTACAATGTTGAGCCATGTGAGTGGAAACCCGGCTATCTAATCCATGGGATACTCTACAAGCCCCATGAACCATATAGGTTTAGACCTTTGATATTTGCAGTGGCTCAAACACATAATAGTTTGCACACAGTTGGTGAGATTCGAATGGATAACCTCTAGTTCTTGAATTAGGAATCCCTCAGATCCCCTAGTCACATATTCACACTTAATTTAACTTTAATGTGCCCGTATTATTAATTTCTTCACGTGACATAGTAAGTTGTGCCAAAATTTTGTTCACTTATCCTGTGCTAATTTGTTGTTTATCAATTTATCTATTTAGTTCCAAACTAATGTTAATTCACCATGTGATGTCTCGAAATCTTTTGAAAAATATATTCCATATTTTAATGTTTTTCTTCATAAGATTATAAAACAATATGCTCAATGCATATCCCTCATGTTACTAATAAAGAAAATAAGCATGTTTTGACAATAAATTGTTGCAAAATACCACATTTTCAAACTATAACAATAAAAATATGAATTCTTTACTTAATTATTATTTTCTAATTTTTAGATATTAACTAAACGATTATTCATGATATAACTTTATCAATCTTAGAAAATTAGGTAAAATAATTATTAGTATCCTATCGTGCCAAAGGCACATATTCCACTAGTATACATATTAAAATAGGTAGACAATTGATAGAAAGCACTTTGTACCGGGTGCTAGTAGCATATAGCGACATGGATGTCAGAACCGTGATTTAGATTGTACGATCAATGACCTACGATCCCAAATCTACTAAACAATCCCAACCATTCGAAAATTGGATTAGAGGTAAAACCATGTTAGATTGCCTGTCAAGATCGTAAGATTTTATTTCTAGTCGCTAATTCACAAAAGTAGCCCATAAAAAAATCAAAATTTGGCCCATATTAGTAAAGCCTAGCCTAGAATTTTTAACCCCAAATTCCAAATATCACTTAAACGACAAATTTGTTGGTAGTAGTAATAATGATTTTGTGTTTGATAATGAATTTGATGAGGGAGGTCAATGGAACTAGTTACAGTCTCAATCAGGATGTCGAGATTACAACTTATTATTTATTCTAGATTTTCTTTACTAGTAATTTTTTTTGTGTGCCTTTGATGTCATACCGGTGAATTTTCTTCATTTGCTTTTGTGTTCCGTTTTTAACTACTTGATATGAAAATGACGTTATTGAAATATAATGTAATTTAAAAATAGTGGTAGTGAATTTTTCCATTGTTGACCTATTTTTTATACCACTAAGGTCTTGTTCAGTTTATTTATGACTTATAATAAGACGGGTGATTATTTTTTAGCATTTTTTTATGGTTGGAGATTTCACTATTTAATCTTACAGGTTAGGTTGTGATTTTACTTAAAATAGGGACTTTAGAAAATATGTACGGCAATCTAGAAGCCGGTAATATCGAGTCTCTGTCATCGCAACCAAGAATTAATTCTAGGTAATCAATTTGTGCCGTGCTTTTCTTAATCTTAATATGTAAATACCCACAACTTTAGATCGAGGTCCATCTGAGGCGATGAATTGAGTGATTGTCTTCTTTAAATGTCCAATAAGAATTCAGCACATTTTTTAGTAAAATTTTTCGTAAGATTATTTTGTACAAGTAGTAATGCTTGGGTGAAAACTGTCTAGTGATTTTTTGAAAGGTACAATATTGAGTGGTCTCTTTATTAAAAACGCCTGATATGTGGCAAATATTGAAACTCAAAGTTATCAATAGTTAAGTACAACGGGCCGTTTACACGTTATAGGGAAAATGATTTTTATGCAACTCATCAAGTGGGACTGGGCATCTTAGGAGGCACCAAGTCCGCCAAATACAAACAGCTTCGATGTAGTCGAGTCGTTAATTGTAACATGATGTGATGTGATGATTATACTTGGGCATGGATAATCAAGGTGTGGGTTATATATATAATTTAATAAAAAAAATGTGAAATCGAAAGGAGGGCATTGACCTCGAAATGGGTACTTACCCTAACTAATGCATAATTAAACCGTTGAATATATATTTGACTTTCACAGGCCTATTGACCTTTTAAGTAATTAGTTGATTTCCTCGTAACTTCTATAATTTTAGGTTTCTAATCGACCTATGAAATGATTGGTACGCCACTCCTAGAATAATTTAGGCAATTGGATTAATATAGCTCACCTCAACCTATGAAAGGGAAGACCCTGGGCCGTAAACTATGGGACTGATTTTTTTAGAAACTGAATTTTGCTTATCATTTTCATTTTTCACCAGAAACTAAAAATCCAGATTTGCGCAAGGGCGACTCACTACACGACCGACCATCATTTGATTCTTAGTGAAATAAGACTGACACAAGGCGAACCGTTCATAACTAGAAGAGTGAAGTGACCTCGAGCAACCATCACTTAAGTAGATTTTTTAGGAGGAGAATGTGAAGTTCAATTTGAATTGATGTTTAGATATCCCATCTTTTTGTAATACTACTCGAATGAAATTTTTCTTGTAAAATTCATTTGAAATGAAGGACTTCAAAACATTCTATTTGTACTTCAAGGATAAAAAACAATGATAATAAGTTATTATTCGTATTCATATTGCATATCGTTTCTAAAAATGCCCTTGATCTACATAATTTAGTCAAAAAATGGGTTTTATCTCACTTTTTGATTTCCCATTTAGCCCTCAGTTACATATTACTTTAACATTTTAATATAATCTAACTTTACAGAGAAAAAAGTAAAACGGGCCAAAGACAGAGATAATAGACAAAAGAAAATGGCCTATTATATTTCATCGTTTCAATAGTGCAACAACTAGTTTCATCCTTCTCTCAATTTCTTCTTTTAAAATTTTGAATAAATGTTTTTTTAATCATTGAAAGAATAAGAAGACATCATTTTATGTTTGCTTTTTAGAAAAGAATTATAACGATAAAAAAATGACTTTCAGTATTTTGTTTTCCACCCGATTAAAATTATAATTTTGTTAATATCCAGTATGACGTTGCATAAGAAATGAAGATGACCGTCAAGGTGTGTAATGTGGGCATGAAAACATTTTTTTTTTAATGCCAAGCTACTGTCTGCTCCATTTAGTTTGATTTCGCTTTACAATCTTAATATGGAAAAAGTAAATTAAACTTTTGTTGGATTCAAATAAATTACAAGTATTTTTTGTAAAGAAAAAAGGAAATATTTAAAACAGAAAGGGGGTCGAAAATGGCCTAAACACGTGCGAATCCCTGTCTTGGCATGTGGGCTGGAAAGGCCTGGCCCTGCCCAGCTTGACACACAAGGCTCATGGGCTGTGCCTGGCGTGACCAAGGCCTAAGAAAAACTGTTGGTCAAAGGGACGAAGAAGCTGCCAATGATCAATCGAAAACGATATCTTCTACATGTTTATCTTGGTTTCCGAAGTCAGACACGAGTTAAGGCTCTTGTTGGGTGAATTTTCATGGCTGGAAAGTCTTGTGGCGTTTCCAATTGTGTTCCTCCAACTCAGAAAGCACAAAAGAGGATAAGGAATTTTATTGCAGATGGCTATACACGATGCCATCGAAACGAAAAAACCGTGTACAAACTCAGATGATACTATGTGTTCCTCTAACTCAGAAAGCACAAAAGAGGATAAGGAATTTTATTGCAGATGGCTATACATGATGCCATCGAAACGAAATAACCGTGTACAAACTCAGATGATACTATGCCCAAATTTTAGATACTGCTCTCCGCCTTATTTTTTTGTCAAGGAAGTGACAACTTGATCTTGTTGAGCTTAACCATGACAGTTTTCATGTCCATTCTTTCCTCAGGCAAGCCCTCTGAACATTCTAGTCCTAACTCGAGGATCAATGAAACTATGCTCTCGAGCTCCGGGAGCATCAAATCTTCTTCCTTCGTGCTAAGGATTCCGCTATCCACAATGTCAAGCACTCGGTCCGGAATCACTGCACCTACCCATTGCCTCAAGCTCATATCCGCATCGAACATTTCATCGGTTGGCTTCTTCCTAGTAATCACTTCCAACAACAATATGCCGAAGCTATAGACATCTCCTTTTGTCGAGACTTTTCCTTCCGAACCGTACTCTGCAAGCATTATGGTTTGTGGAAAAAGAACATCAGCAATTGATCTTTTTTCATTTTGGGACATAAGTAATAAGACCGAGAGGCACGAGCGTTAATATATCTCTATTATATTATACCATTATATTGGGAATCAAAGGCTTGAATTAGCTAAAATTCGACAAATGTACCTGGAGCAATGTAACCAATCGTGCCAAGAGTTCGGGTTTGTGTTTCAAGCTTGTTCTCAGCCAAAATCTTCGCAATTCCGAAGTCGCAAACTTGTGTGACCAGGTCCTTGTTTAGAAGAACATTGCTAGGCTTTAGATCGCAGTGCACAATGGGTTCCGGTTGGCCATGGTGGAGATATTCAATCGCTGTTGCAACGTCGACCATTATCTTCACTCGTTGATGGAGACCCAAGTTATAGTTGTCGGAGTAAATCCACTTCTCCAAGCTCTCGTGGGGCACGTATTGTAGCACCAAATCTCTCAGATCGGCATTTGTGCAGGTACTGATCACCTTGACGAGATTCCGATGCCTAATCATGCGGAAAACCTCGCATTCTGCATCAAAACTTTTCAAGGCGCCTTCGATATGGAGATTCAGTACTTTGACAGCGATGTCTGTCCCAGTGACCAGAGTCCCTTTGTATACAGAGCTAAAGCTTCCTAATCCGAGCAAATTGCTTTCGCTGAAGTTGTTGGTAGCCCAGCAAAGCTCTTGATATGATATCATGGGGTGATCAATTCTAGGCTGGTTGTCCACCGAAACTGTAGCTTTTTCGCCGGAGTTCCCACGCTTTCTAAGCAAGAAAACGACAAGGACTAAAAGTACAGCTGATACAAATGGCAACATAATGAATAGTAACCGGAGCCGCTTGTCCATTGATTTATTTCCTTTTAGTTTGCAAGGTGGGACTTGAAAAGTTGCATTTCCACATAGTGCTTCATTCCCAATGAATGAGAGAGCCGAAAAATTTCTAAAGGGCCCACCATTAGGAATCTCTCCTGATAGCTTATTAAAGGACAAGTTCAGACTTCGTAGAAATGGAAGTCGTTTCATGGACTCGGGTATCGCACCTGATAACTCATTGTAGGAGAGATCGAGGACATCCAACCCTTTGAGTTTGCCGATCGATTGCGGTATCGATCCTTGAAACGAGTTCCTTGACAAGTTGAGAGAAGAAAGGCTCTGCAACTCCTGGATGGAACTCGGTATAGCGCCAATAAGTTGGTTCCAAGAAAGATCGATGCTCACTATAGCTCTCATTTTCCCCATGTCAAACGGTAATCCTCCATTAAAAGAATTGAGTGATAGATTGAGGAAGATGAGTTGTTGAAGGCTCCACAGACTAACCGGTATAGCCGATGTCATGTTATTCGAACTTACGAGAAACTTTTGAAGGCTGTTCAGGTTTCCAATGCAATTCGGGATCGATCCCGATATCCTATTTTGCCGGAGCAGCAACTCTCCTAAACTTGTCATGTTGCATATCTCATCGGGGATTGGTCCTTCGAGATGGTTGTTATCAAGATACAGCCTTTGCAAGCTTTCTAGTCCTCCGATTGATGATGGGATGTTGCCGACTAGATCGTTATCGATCAACCTTAGGAAAGTCAAGCTCTTCAAGAAACCAATTTCCTTGGGAAGGTGACCTCTTATTTGACAATTGGGAGCGGATAGAATTTGTAGGGAACTGGAGAAGTTTTTGATAGATGCTGGTATGGAGCCGCCAAGAGGGTTTTCTCCAGTAAACAAGGTTTGCAGCGATTGGCAATTAGATAAAGCAGAGAGAAAATCGAGCTCCGCACCATAAGTCTCTCCCGTTAGCTGGTTTGACCGAACCCCAAAATATCTGAGGTTCTTCAAGTTGCCCGAACTCGTGGGTATTGGTCCGCTGAGTTGATTGTACGAGACCTCTAAAAAAATTAGGTTCGAAAAATTCGAGAAATATTGTGGGATGTTGCCGCCAAAGCCATTTTTTGCTAGATAGAGTTTTTCCAAATTCGGAAGGCTCAGATCACTACCTGAGGGAAGGCTTCCAGAGAAGGAATTGTCCGTCAAAGCAAGCACTTGGAGCGAAGAAATATTAAAAACCTCTCGAGGTACTTCACCTGTTAGCAAATTTCTTTGAAGGCTCATAAAGTTCAAATTGACCAACTTGCTAATCTCACTCGGAATGTCCCCTCCAATGTAGTTAAATCCTAAGTCCAGCATGTGCAAGCTCGACATGTTACCAATGTTTCGAGGAATCGTGCCGGTCAAGTTGTTAACACCAAGATAGAGCTCCTGCAGCTTTTGCAAGCTGTCCATGTCTCGAGGAATGCTTCCCTGAAAACGATTGTATGACAACGACAACATGAGAAGCTCTTTGCATTGGGTTAGCGTCTCCGGTAGCTGGCCGCTGAATTTGTTTTCAGACAGTGAAAGCCACTGAATGTTAGGCCAGCGGGAGCAAAGATCGGAAGGAAGACTCCCTGAGAGATCATTATGATTCAAGTCGACCATCGTAAGCGATCGGTTGAAAAATGTTGGAGGAATGGAACCTGTGAGACTGGCTGTGTTCAAACCAATGACCTGCAATGTGGATATGTTGCCCAGGAAGCTCGGAAATTGACCCCGTAAGTCATTGAAGCTAAGAAACAGTTGTCGCAACTTAGGGAAGGCGCCGAATTTTCTTGGTATGCCACCAGTTAACCTGTTCATTGCGAGTGACATCACTTCGAGATTTTGGCACAATGCTAAGTTAGGAGGAATATTTCCTTCAAACTGGTTCGATTGGAGTATGAGTTTTTTCAGGCGGCGCAAACAACCGATTTCTGTAAGAATCGTGCCATAGAAACTGTTGTTGCGGACATCAAGAGAAGCCAAGAAAGAAAGGTTGCCGAGGTAGGGAGAGAGTCTTCCCCGGAGACCCATGTAGGAGAAGTCTAAAGCTGTGACTCTCTGCCTGCGGTTGCTGCAAACGACACCGATCCATTCACAGAAATCTGCTTCCATGGTCCAATTGCTGCCTTTGATGGTGTTTGTCGGGTCGACTTCGATCGCCGATTTGAAGTGGAGGAGAGCATCTTGATCAGTGAAGTTGCTGGAAGAAATGATGGGCTGAAACATCAATAGGGAAGCTAACAGAACATCAAGAAGTGCTAAAAAGACGAACTTCTCCATAATGAAGAGAGCCTCTTTTGATTGCATCAATAGACAGTTCACTAATTAGGATCTGTTCCTAGTACATATACCCAAATGATGCTCCAAATGTTGTCTCTGGAAAAACAGTAGGTTGCTTTCCAATGTGAGGGACATGACAAACTACATGATCCACACAATTCAGGGATGATTACAGGTAGAAAATTTGTTTTGAGCGTCAAAGTTCTCAAATGATAATCCCAGATCATTTTCTTTTTAATATTTATAAGAATGCTATTCACAAATTCCCCACAAATTAACCCAAACCATAATCATGTGTTGAGACGATTGAGGGGAAGTTAGAGAACCCTCAATCACGTCTGATTCAGTAAATATACCGTTCTTTACGTTTACACGAACACACTTACTTTCAACTCTGTGAGGGTACAAATGGACCTTTCACAAATGTTCCAAGGCATGAATGTGAAAAGGTTTTGCGATAATTGTAGCGATCTTCCCGCAAGGACGATATGAAGTGTCTCGTGGGAAGCTGACGGATTGGAACTTGCTAGAAGAGATAATGATACTAGTAGTCTATCAACTTTTATTAATGCGTCATGTCATATTTGAAATTTCATTCAATTCGATTAAATCACTTTTGATTAATGTGAAATGTCGACCGGCATCTTTTAGTTGGTCTAATTAGAACCTTAATATATTTAATATGTTTATTGTCATCCTCTCATTAATTAATTTAAATGTAATGCGCCATGGATTTCAATTTGATAATGATGATGTTTGATGGAGAAAATTACGCGGATTTTGTGCATGTAATGGTGACTTTAAATTGCAAAACTATAATGCCCCTTCCTTTAATATGTGCACTATTCACTCTGACAACATTTTCTTTCCTCAACACTCATTATCATCCAGTGGGACTCTCTTCAACAACGATTTTAGGCTTCTTGTCCCAAAAAGGATGAGGATAATGGCTTTGAAATCTCTACTATTAAAATGCATGGAAAACTTTACTATTTTCTTTTGGAAGCATAGTGAGAAATCCTCCCTCATTCCCCATTTGACATGATTTCGATTGAAAGCTTGAAGAAGAATAAGACCACATTAATTATATAAAGTAAAGGGTTTTGTCCTGGTTTGGAAGCTTTTCTTTATCACTTGTAGAATTCCCGTTTGATGCACAGGTTCTAGCTTTTTGTTTTATTGAAAAATTGCTCTAAAGTATTAATTCGAAACCTAGTGTCGATTTTGGTCCTCTCACTTTGAACTAATAATTTATGGAACTATTATTTTCATCTAATGCTTATAAATACTTTAGCGTCTTGATTTTTCCTTTCATCAATTTCTATTGAACTTGTCTCAGTACCATAAGACACTAATTTGTAGTTTGACATCGGATTATCTGACATATGTGTCAGATATGTGGGTGCATCTTTGTTCATGTTTAATAGGAACATGGGCAGCGAGATGCTAACGGCATCAATGGCACGGTTAGCTTCGTCGGATAAACAGTGAGTGTCCAGGATGAGTTTGGCGCAGCGGCAAGGGCTGAGCTTGGTGGTGTCGCTGTGATACTGCAGTGTGGCGGTCGAGCAAGGTCTGGATGGCACCGGGAAGACCTGAAATTACCCGGAAACTAGGATCTCTGCGGCTACAGCAGTGGGTCACGGTATGGCTGAGGGGTACGCTTGGTATCGCTCAACAGTGATAGCCAGAGCTAAAGCAGTGGGTCACGGTATGGCTGAGGGGTACGCTTGGTATCGCTCAACAGTGATAGCCAGAGCTAAAGCGACGCGAAGGCAAGGCGCAGCGACGATCCTCCAGAGAAGCGCAATAGCGAATATCTGGCTGATAGGATTGGTCAACTGTGTATGAGCGAATATCTTGCCCATTGTTTTTTATGTGGCCAAAAACCGTGTGATCAATAAACCAATACTTCCTAATTTAGGATAGCCGTGTGGAATTTTCGGATATAAGGAAGAGATTATAGGTTTGGCTGAACTTCATTCCTCTGCGAGCTTAGTTTATATGATTAAATTCTTAGCCTCTTTGCTTATGTCCATTAACTTCAATGCAATTATATGACCCATTATTATTAATGCAAATACTTTGAATATGTAATTTAATTAATATTTTTATATTTTGGGGTCAGGGTCGACCCCTACCTTTCTATGCAATTGATACTCAAATAGGTCGCCAAAATTTAGGTGTCAACACATAAATGATCATAATTTAAATATCAAGGCAATAATTTTCTGGCTAGTAGAATATTTTGCTCATACAAATATCTAAATTTCACGGTTTTATGATTTAATTAGAATTTAAACCAGTATGCATGTACGAATGGAACTTGTACACATCCATCGGGAAGTCGTGGTCCTTGACGAGTGTGCAATTGTTGAAGTGTGAAGAAGTCAAGGTCTATGGGGTTTTGTGCGTTGACTTTGCGACCAGCACATCATGACTATACACCGAGAAGTCGTGGTCTTTTGCGGTTTCAAGTGTTTTGATTTTTGGACCTGTACGCGTTACAATGGTTCATGGAAAGTCATGGTCTTCGTGGACTTTTATTTGTGATGGTCGGCCTAAAAATTTCAAGCTCATCAATAATACCAACGCGCAATTTGTAAATTGATGTGTTAGAATTCTCCATTTTATCTGCGACATTGACGTGCCTATTGAGATGTGCACATTATTGATCGATCTAAAGTGTATCGCTAATCACGATATGGATTCATGATTCTAGAGTTGCATTGCTCGTTAATAAATGAATAGAAATAATGCAAGAATTTGGAGACTAAGATACGATATTTGTTTCTTAGTTTCCTTGAAGCGCCTGTCACGTTTGGTGATTGGATAAGTTTACACGGTCGTTGTACTTGTCAACCCATTCATCATAACTTTCAATTTTCTCGAACTTGTAGCTACTGACTTAGATTTTGACTAAATATATATTCTTTTCATGGAATTATGAAATTTGACTTGCACTCCAGCATAGTAAGCTTAATTCACAGAAGAAAAGGATGCGTAAACTTCCTGATAGGGTTGAATATTCAGGTCCAAATGGAGGAACTTGCACGCTAAAATTAAATTTGTCTTCTGCAAATTAAAAAAAAAAAAGCTTTGGCCAATCCTAATCATAATGAGGTTTGCAAATTAATTCCAATTTTTCAATGAGTTTGTAACGCAATATTAAATTTAATCCAACGATGCATATGTTCTTATTCACATAAAGTGTCCTAATTTAATAGGTTGTTATAGCGGATCAACCTTCCCTAAAGTATAATGCAATGCTTTGGCATGCAATGTTTACTTCTTTTAAAAATCTATAGTTATGTGCTAGGGGAAATTGTTCCAAAAATCTTCATCTTATGTACGCACTATAATCAAATGTTGAACCTTTCAATTGCTGCAATGAGGTTATATGAAAGTGGAAAAGTATAATTGAGTCTTAAACTATTGTGTGGGTGTAATCAAGTCATAAAGGGAAGACTTACCAAAACAGTCATAAATCTATTGCAATTGTGTCAATTCAGTTTTAAATTTTTTTGGGCCAATTGAGTCCTAAATCTTTTGCATTTTGCCCCAAATTCAGTCCAACTGGCATATTTTGGCCGATCGGATGGACTAAATTGGCGGATAATGAAGATGAAGATGAAGAGAATTAAAAAAAAAAAGAAAGAGAAAGATTAAAATTGTCTACATCAGTTCCGGCTGCGCCACATAGGACGGCTGGCATTAGACATGGCCACGATTCGGAAACGGTCGGTTCCGGTTCGAAACCGGTCTGTTCCGGTTAAAAAATTGGCGGTTCCGGTTCATGGTCATGTATGAACCGGAACCGGCGGTTCCGGGCCGATTTCAATTTGTAAGTTAAAAATTAAAAAAAATAAATTATGAAATAAAAAAATTATGAAATAATGAATTCGGTTCGGTCCGGTTCCGCTCGGAAGCGGGAACCGAACCGGTAAGACCAGTTCCTTATTTTTAGAACCAGGAACTAGACCGGCAAATCGTGGAACCAGGAATCAGACCGGACCAATGGTCAGGTCCGGTTCCAGGCGGTCCAATGGAACCATTTGATCTTCATTAGCAAAAGATAAAAAAATTTCACTTGACATCCCTTTATCGTAGCCAAGTAGCCACGAAAGGCACACAACTTCACATGCTCATGACTCGGCTTGGGTTTTATTTACAACTCATTTGATGGTCTCTTCATTTTCATTCGATGTGGGACTCTTGGCATTTGTATGAAGACAAGCCAAGAGGCTCACATTGAAGGCATTCAAGGCAAGCCGAGAGTCTCACATCGAATGCGAACGAAGAGGCATTAGAAGCATTATGCATAAAACCCAAGCCAAGCCATATAATTTGAGTTCAATGCATCCAAGCCAAGCATTGTAATTAAAGTTTAATGCACTTACAATGCGTGGCAATTAGAGTTAAAATTATTTTATAAAGAGTTATGAAGAGCGGGGGCTTGAACTTAATGAATTATCATTAAGTTTTTGTAAAAAATTTTGGAACCGGAACGGGGCCCGTAGGGCACGGGCCGGTTCAGAATCGCGGGCCCAGTCAACGGGCCGGTTATGGGCCAAAACCGGCCTGTGGCCATGTCTAGCTGGCATCCACATTAGTGCCAACCGGCCAAAATTGATCGGATGGCTTGAATTGACATTAATGTAAAAGGTTTATGACTCAATTGATAAAAAAAGGGTTTTGTACTGAATTGGTACAATTACAGTAGGTTTAAGACTTTTTGGTAATTTTTCGAGTCATACAATCCTAAACCTATATTAAGAAGTGAAATTAAAGGTTTCCACATGGGCTTTGAGTGCTATCTAGGCAAGTTTGGGCATTCTCTATGGAAAAGACTTGATTTTACTTTTTGCAAAGGTTGATGATTTGATTGCGCTCACCAAATAATTGGAACTCAATTGCATTATGTGTTCTGAACAAAAAAAAAATTGCATTATATGCAAAGATTTAAGATTTTTAGTGCGCTTCTGATGTTATTTTGGTGT